TCTGCGAATATATTCCTACAGGTAAAAGGTTAAACATCAGTGAATCACAGTCAACATGTCATATTTTAATACTGTTGGTTATTAATCATAGTTTTACATCAAAACATTAATGATCAGTGCATCAGGACATTAAAGTGAAAGTTGTTGATTTGTGATTTTCTCACCATCCAGGCWSTAAGCAGTGAGCTGCAGTCAGAATCCACTGGTTACTGATCAGAGAGCCTCCACAWRAGGYCMCATGTGTTGTATTTCTGAATCTCAGGCGGACATGGTACAGACGCTCATMATYTYGACATATAGCACCTCCGATGATTCTCTTCTGCAGATCCACCGCTGTGCTCACTGTCACACCTGAAAGAGAAATAGCTCCAACATTGTGAATTAGAATCGTGGCTTCGAGTGTGAAGACAGAGAACAACACCTTATTACAGTATTTGCTGCAAACACTTAACCTAAACCTCTTTTAGACAAGACGTTAGTCTGACGGCTATTTAACGTGTAAGTCTCACGTCTGAAGAAGCTCTTGGTTTCTTTTATGAAGACGAGGCATCAGCAGTCTTACTTGGTCAAATCCAGTCTTTGTCACAAAATTCACCTGCAGCTCCTCGAAGCCAGAAATGTGACGCTCTGCTTGTCTTCAAACAGTTTGTCGTGTGAACTAGAACACAGGGAGAATTGCTGCTTACTTACCAACCCACATGGCAAAGAGAAGAGTTGTAAGACGAGCCATCGCTGTCATTCACTGTCTCAAAGACTGTCCTCCAGATGCAACAGTTGTGTCTTTTTAAATGTGTTCACGCTGTCTCGTCGGCCTCTGCTGGACCAATCACATTGTGAAGATTTACTGGCTAAACCCCATTGGCTAAAGTAATCTGCACATTAATGCTAMTTTGTGGATAACCGTTTAGATTAACGTACAGTGTTATCTTTTATACTAATGCTGTACAAATACAGCAGGTACCAGTACTTATTTCAGGATATAGGACTCAATGTCCCTCGTGCTTTGGAAGGTTTTCTTCACAATTTAAGTTACAGATTACCAGTAGATGACAGCAGGTGTTAGCGGATGTTAGGGACATATCTTCAGTTGTGTCCCTAAGCGTTTCAGCCTTTTAATCACAAGACACCCTCTTCTAAAGCAGGTTGATCAGACCTGGGTGCATGTCCCTCGCATCTTGGGGCCCAGTTGGGATCTTTCCGCCATTGGCTGCAGCGTTCTGCAGTGTGGGATGTTTCTTTTATGGTCTGGAGCAGGACTTGTTCATGGATCCCAGATCTTTGAGAAACATGATTGGTTGATGTTGCAAGGAAACCCCTGCAGCCAACCTCCACAGGGCAAACTATTGCTTTCCAGCCTCAATGCTCTGCCTCAAACGTCATGTCTGCAGTTCAGTCAATTCTACGAAGTAGACGATGCGCAGGGTGTTGGACCAGAGAATCAGGTCAGGTCTTAGGGTGGTAGTGACAATATGTGATGGGACTGTAAGCCGCTGGTCCACGTCCACCAACATCTTCCTGTCTCTGATTTTCTCTTTTCTCTTTGGGTTTCTTGTATTTTTTCTAACCCCATGCGTACAGATGCAT